TATATATATATATATATATGCTGGGAGAGTGAATGAAGCGAGCTTCACATTCCAACAAAAGTTCTACTTCTCTGCCAAGCTGGCAGAATGAATCTTTTCAAGACCAAGTTTTATGAAAGCAATGTCTCATCTGATCTACATGTACAATATTACTTAATTACTATTCAAATATTCGATGGGGTTATTCAGTTTGCTTGCTTTTGTCTCTTCCTTCACTTTATGCTTTCATTTCTCACAAATTTTCATACCTAATCTGCTGCCAACATGAGCATAATTTATCAAACACATCTGCTCAATGGGCATTAAAATAATAACATCTCCATGCTACTTCGGCAGATCTGAATTTTAGGCAAAAAGAAGGGAAGAAGCGTCAAGCTGGCAACTCATGACTAGTAAGTCAAATCAACATGGAGATGGAAGGCAAGTATATATACAAGTATAATTAAGAAAAACAAGAGTTATATATGGTTCAAAAGCAATTCAATTTTGTTCAGGAAAGGAGTCCCTAGTAGTCGTATTTATTTATTTACATTGATCAAATAGAATCATAATCTAACATGCACTTGTTCTTCCACCGCCAGACTAACCCCACAAATAGCAATGATGAACCTTTTGATGCGAGTTGAAACATCATCATAAGGGTTAGAACTTTCCATCCTCCTTGCATTTCTTAGCTAGTTGTGGTTGGGATGTGGAAGTTCCAGAGTTGGCTTCAAATCAAATTGAAAATAAAAGGACAAAAACAAAAACAAGAAAGGAGCTAGCTAATGTTCTTTTATGGTGACATTCCAATTAATTAATTAAGTTGTGACTAATCATTCAGCAGAATTTTCAGAAAGGGAGCATTACCAACAGTACCCTTTTTCCTAATTGGCTTATAAATAAATAATAAAGAAGGGTTTTTATTTTTTTCAGTTTCATTATGCATTTTCTTTCACAACCATTTAATGGGCTAAATATCTCTATCAAAATGGTATATGGAATGTTGTTGTCATTTATTCCTATATATCCTTCTTAAATCATAACATCTTGTCTTTTAATGCAAGATTCAATATTGCAGAAAAGAATTATACGAACAACATTCACCAAAAACTAAATTTCCTTTAAGAACTCTAGTTTTTATTTTGTTTCTTATGAAGTGAGGATCTTATAATTTCCATATATAGGCAGGAAATAATGTAGATATATATATATATATATATATATATATATATATATATATATACACACACATTCATCCACGTGCATGGGGCAAACTGAAGAAGCATTTAAATAAATTTGGTGGAGTTGTTGGGGAAGGAAATAAAATAAGGTGAGGGTGGTTGGATCAAGATCGGTCCTTGAGGCTCCTCGTCTCGAAGTAAATGCTCAGGTATCCCTGATCAAGTACTCTATCACCTGCCCGCATGAATCTTCTACCAGGGCTGATCAGCGTTCACATGTTGTTGCTTTCGTAATTCTACAATCCCTGAATATATATGAGAAACTACAGTTGACAAAGGCAATTACATATCCTCTTAATGGGAGAATGTTGTCTTAGAGACAGGCTTAACAATTAATGAAGCAGCTGGCATCATATTTATTGAGTTCATTTATGGATGGTTAGCATTGTCAAAGATATAGTTTGTAGTTATGTACTAGTAGTAGTATCGTTTTATCCCTTGACCTGTGGCTACGGGTTCCCACCATCCCACTTCAATTCCTTCCCAGCAAGGGAAAAAGAAGATAAGCCCTGATGGCTCCTTGAGGGACTGGGAATATGACACCCTAAATTTATTTTCTACCCATGAGGGAGAGGGAGAGGGAGAGGGAGAGGGAGAGAGCAGATAGATGACTAATTAACTGATCACTCGATTTTTCAATGACTAGAATTAATGTTTATAGTGCAGAAAACCAGAAGAAACAGTAGCTGCGGCAGAGAGTTAATGCTTAAAACCGGATAAGTAAGTCCCGTCAGTCAAACGGAAATGCCGAAGATAAAAAATGAAAAACTGAAATGGTAAAGTTGTAATAATGGGGCAACATAAGGACTGAATTGTGTGGGAAACTTAACCATAAGTATAATACGCCTCTGTTTGGGTTAACAAGGTATCCTTGAGCTCACTGGCTCCGCCTCAGTCTCTCTCTCTCCGCTCTTCAGTTTTTATACAAACACAAATAAACAAATAAAGGGTTGTTTTCACTTTCAATCCATTTTCCTCCAGCCAAGTCCTACTTACTCTGTATTTTTGGAGCCCAAAGACCAAAAATCGCTTCTCTTTTCAACTCTTAAATGCAGTCTCGTGTTTCAATGACTTGCGACATTATTCGTAACAGATGTAGCTGCTTCAGTTTCAGTTTCAGTGTCACTTTGTGTTGGAGGTTAGCTGCTCATTTCAGTTTCACCGAATTCCGGATCTGAAGAAGCCCGGCATTTTCCTTTTGCAAATGCGGCTCACTGCTGAGGCCCTTTCCTTTCAAGCTTGACTGTCACTTCCACCCAACTCTTGGTACCTCAATCCTCACGCCACTCTCTATCGGGTTTGGATGCTGTTTTCCCAGGTTCCATTCCTTGTTCTTTTTCTTAAATCCACTTTGTTTTGATAATTTTTAAGTTAATTTACTCTCAGCATTGATTTGCTTCCAATAATAGAGCTCGTAGATCTGGGAAGTGTTTCAGGTTTTGACATCAATTCCTATCATGTTTATTTCTTTGGTGAATGGATAGGTGATTCAACAATTTGCTTGTTTCTTCTATGCTCTCGAAGTTTTCATTTTTTGTCAAACAACACTTTACTTTTGCTTCTCCGCAAATGTGGATTTCGTCTTCATCTTTTCCACCTTTTTTCTCTTGCGCAATGTACTAAGCAGCTAAGGTGGTTCAACGACCCTACTACAACCTGTCTAATATTTGAATTTTTCCTGTTTGTTATTAAAAAAAAAAAATTGCCTCTTGAAGCTTGAAAGTTGGAACAGAGAAGCTCCAAAATCTTACGGAAAAAAATCCTCCTTTATTTCTAATTCTAAAAGAGTGTAGCTTTTATTTCTTTTTCTCAAGTATATTCTTCCCTTGGTGCTCTTTAATGGAAAAGCACTCATGTTGCTATCCCTGTCACCTTTTTGTTGTTTTTAAGACCCCTTTTTGCTTTACCTTTGAATTGCATTCAATATTTTACTATCCTTCCAGGCACTTTACCAAGCTAGATGATAACACAGATTTTTTATTCCAAGTATTTTCCTTGTCTAGGGACCCTTGAAATGTGATACTCTTATCTCTCAACTTTATTCCTTCTAACTTGTAAGATATCCTTCTTACTTGAAAAATGAAAAATGAAACACTCTTTCCTACAAAAAATGAGATACCGCTTTTATTATCAAAGACCCATTTTTCTCATGAGCAGCAATTGAACAAGAATTTTTTTATGGAATAGGTTGGTTTTCCTTTTTTTTTTTATAGTTCGATTAAACTCTGAACTCAGTGCCCACGGTCACGGTCATTATTCAAATGCCCACTGGATGTCAAAACCAGTGCCCTTTGGAATCAGAGCATGTCAATGTACTTTCTTATTGGATGTGTTTTCCATTTCTTTTAAAAGTTATATGTTTCCTATTCAGTTTTATGGTGCCGCATAGGGAAGAATGTCAAAGAACTTTCTTATTGGATATGTTTCCCCTTCCTTTCAGAAAATTATCAGTGATGCTGGTTAGAATTTCAGCAACTGCAGACCCTCAAAGAGAAGAATGTCAAAGTACTTTCTTAGTGGATATGTTTCCCCCTCGTTTCAAAATGTATAAAACAGCAACGGGTCATGGAAGAGAATGTCAGACTACATTCTTATTGAATATGTTTCCCCTTCCTTCTAAAAGGATAAATTGAATCTAGTTGGAATTATAGAAACTTCTGACTTTATGCTGAATCAAGTCCTTTTTGCACATGAGCATAAATTTCAATGACCTTCGGGATGTGTTGGTTGGTACCAGTTAATTAATAGGTTCTGACAGAGCCTTTTCCATTTCATTTTTTCTTTGCACTAGGTACGTCAGATTGTTTCTGTGTTTGAGTTATGTCACCCTCTTTTATTTTGTACTTTTCATGCTTGCAACGGAATGGTGTAGCATTGCATTCTTTTTCCTATAAACGTTGGTTTCTAGTCCTTCATTAAGCTGGCTTCCTAATGTGTTCTCTGGTCTTTTGTTTGAAACAGGAAATCAGCAAGGAGTGCAGATGCTACATTTTCATCATCATAATCATTACCATATTCCCTGCACCAAACAACGCCCCATGAAGTTCTGCCTGACTTCAGTGTTTTCTTCCCTTGTCATTATAGGCATTTTTCTTCCTCTAACAATTGCTGATCTAAACTCAGATAAGGAAGCCCTTCTTGACTTTGCTGCTGCTGTCCCCCACCGTCGAAACCTTAACTGGAACTTAACCAACCCTATATGCACATCCTGGATTGGTGTCAAGTGCACTCAAGATAATTCTAGCGTGCTTGCCCTCAGGCTCCCCGGGGTTGGACTCATAGGCAATATCCCATCCAACACCCTTGGTAAATTAGGTGCCCTCAGGACTCTCAGCCTTCGATCTAATCGCTTGAATGGTGATCTTCCTTCAGATATCATCACCCTTCCATCTCTCCAATACCTCTACCTTCAACATAATAATTTATCTGGTGATCTTCCTGTTTCCTTTTCCCTCAAACTTAATGTATTGGATCTTTCATTCAATTCCTTTACAGGCAAAATTCCAAAAACAATACAAAATTTGACACTACTTACTGGATTGAACCTTCAGAACAACAACCTTTCTGGACCAATACCTAATCTCAACCTTACTAGGCTCAAGCATTTGAATTTAAGCTACAACCAGCTTAGTGGTCCGATCCCATTGCCCCTTCAAAGATTCCCTAATTCATCCTTTGTAGGAAACTCACTATTGTGTGGACTGCCTTTACAAGCCTGCTCACTCCCTCCATCACCATCTCCTGCTTATTCTCCACCCCCTCCGACGTTTCCTCAAAAGCAAAGCTCCAAAAAGAAACTGAGTTTGGGAGTTATCATTGCCATTGCAGTCGGAGGGTCTGTAGTGCTGTTTCTTTTAGCTTTAATTATCTTATGCTGCTGTCTGAAGAAAAAGGATAATGGAGGAAGTGGTGTATTAAAAGGGAAGGCTTCGGGTGGTGGCAGGAGTGAGAAGCCAAAAGAGGAGTTTGGAAGTGGGGTGCAAGAACCTGAGAAAAACAAGTTGGTTTTCTTTGAAGGATGTTCTTATAATTTTGACCTTGAGGATTTGTTAAGGGCTTCAGCTGAAGTTCTGGGAAAGGGTAGTTATGGCACAGCATACAAGGCTGTCCTGGAGGAATCCACAACAGTGGTAGTCAAAAGGTTGAAGGAAGTGGTAGTGGGGAAGAAGGATTTTGAGCAGCAGATGGAGATTATAGGAAGGGTCGGGCAGCACCCAAATGTTGTCCCACTCCGTGCTTATTATTACTCCAAGGATGAGAAGCTGTTAGTTTATGACTATATCCCAGGCGGCAGCTTGTCCACACTTTTGCATGGTACTATATTCTTCTCCTCATGTTTCTTTGCTTTCCTTGTAATTCCTCTCTCCCCCACTTGCCCTCTAATATCACTTTCAAACAATTTCTACAATAAGTTTTTGGAAATTAAGCATGTAATATTTCATGCATTTTGACGACAGGAAACAGGGGAGGTGGAAGAACCCCATTAGACTGGGAATCCAGAGTAAAAATCTCCCTTGGAGCTGCCAGAGGAATTGCCCACGTTCATTCTATGGGTGGTCCAAAATTTACTCATGGAAATGTCAAGTCCTCAAATGTTCTCCTCAATCAAGATCTTGACGGGTGCATCTCTGATTTGGGTTTGACCCCTCTTATGAATGTCCCTGTAACTCCATCTCGAACAGCAGGGTATCGTGCTCCTGAGGTGATTGAAAGCCGTAAGCATACTCATAAATCAGATGTGTACAGCTTTGGTGTCCTGCTTCTTGAGATGCTGACTGGGAAAGCTCCACTCCAATCACCTGGACGGGATGACATGGTTGATCTTCCTAGGTGGGTTCAATCTGTTGTCAGGGAGGAATGGACAGCTGAGGTCTTTGATGTTGAGTTGATGAGGTTCCAGAACATTGAAGAAGAAATGGTGCAGATGTTACAAATTGGGATGGCATGTGTGGCAAAGGTGCCAGACATGCGACCTAATATGGATGAAGTTGTTAAAATGATTGAGGAAGTCCGGCAATCAGACTCAGAGAACCGGCCATCTTCTGAAGAGAACAAGTCCAAAGATTCAAATGTGCAGACCCCGTGATTGTCCATACGCTGCTGCATTGTGTTTTTAGGAACATGTTTTTTGTAAACATTGCCTAGTAAGGTTTTCCCAGCCATTATCTGACCTTGCATGCATGGCTTCTCAAACTTAAAGTCGGTGTTGTTGTGCAATTTTTCTGAGGGGATTTACTGTTATGAATTCTCACTTTAATTAGGTGGGATTTCCTTTTCCTGATTTATTGTAATATTCATTTTCAGCAATATGATTTACATTTACTTCAATGAAAGAACTTTCTGTATTCCTTTCAATATTTCTTACTTGTCTCTTCCTTACCGGCTCGAGGAAAAGTTTGTATTTTGTAGGTTAGCTTGTTACTAGTCCAGGAATAGACAAGTAGCTCCATTAATAAGTATTTTTCCTTTTGGGTCATTGTTAGTTTGTTCTACAAAGGGCATCAATATCATCATGTAGGTGAAATTAAGTAGCAGTATTAGTAGTAGTTACTTGAAAAGAATCAGATTTTGTTGAAGGGTAATGAGAGCATGCAATAAAACGAGAATAAAAGAAAAGAAAAATCCTGTATCATCATTCTTCAAAGTGACAGGAACACGACAAGGCACTTCAGCATGTTATATTGCAATGGAAGGCCAGAAAGAAAGTGTAAAAAATTTGGGTGCAATGCCAATATGGAGGGAACTGAGCTAAAGAAGTTGAAATTATAAATGGAAAGGGTAATGGTTAGGGTGGCAGACGGAGACTAGCAGTGGTGACAAAAGAAGGGGGAAAGAATCAGTCAAATGGAAAGCCAAACGAGGCAAATTGGAAAGAAGGCAAAAGATAAAGGATGAGAGTGCAAAATCAAGGAAAAAGGACCAGGAAGAGTGGATAGGCATAGGCTTGCTTGTTTTCAAGTCATTAAAATAATACTAAAAGAAATGAAAAGGCATCGCATGGACGTTAATCTTACGCAAAAATATTGAATGACAGAAAATTCTAGAAGCAAGCAACCCTGAACCCACCCTTTTTCTCCATTTCGCCGGTCTGCCCTGCTCTGCTCTGCTCTGCTCTATCATTGGCCTTTGATTGTCCTTTTTCTGTTTTCTCATCAATTGGCTGCTCTTGTAAAATCTTCAGCTTTTCTTCAGATTTGGGTGATTGGTAAGCTGTTTCTCTTCTCTCCTATTATTTCCCTTTTATTTGTTTTTTGTTTTAGATAATACTAATAATTTAGTGGGGATCTGATGGTGAATCAGGTGATTGATTGTTCGATTCCTGAATTTGATGGCTTCGAAGAGGATCCTCAAAGAGCTCAAGGATTTACAGAAGGACCCTCCAACCTCCTGCAGTGCTGGTTTCTCCCTCTTCTTTCTTTCGTTTTGTTTTTCTGGTTCTGGTTTTGGTTCTTGATTTACAGAAGGATGTTCCTTTTTTTTATGTATACTTAATTTCTTCCAAGTTTTATTCTTTCCTTCCTTCCTTCCACTGGCTTCCAGCTCTTTGGCTAAATTATTTTTGTGTTGAGTTGCATTAAGATTTGGCCTCTATGCAACCCAGCTCTGAAAGATTTTATTTTGACTGATTTTGTTATTTCCCAATCTTTTTCTCGAAGATAACTGCTTTTCACTCTTCATTTTCATTCAATGCAGGCCCTGTAGCTGAAGACATGTTTCATTGGCAAGCAACAATTATGGGGCCTGCTGATAGCCCATACGCCGGAGGAGTCTTTCTAGTCTCCATTCATTTCCCACCTGATTACCCATTTAAGCCCCCTAAGGTACTTTTCCTCTGGGTACTGCAACCTCGTATCTATTGTAATATATATCTTCCTTGCCTTACATCTATGCCAAAACTCTGGAAGCCTCATGATAACATCATCCTCAAAACCTAGTAAGAGAGAGAGAGGAATTATGCGACGCAAGAACCTTCTTTAGTGAGCCACTCTTAGTTAGATCTCTGACTTGATTTTAGCTAGAGTTGCTTTAGAAACCAACTCATGACTTCAAGGAGTACGTTACTGCCTCCAGGTCGTAAACAATTTTATTTTATTTTTCCATTTTGGGATGTCCCAAACTAATTTTCTATCTCTATATAATTGAAAATATGAGTTGGGATAGTTGTGAAATCTAGTGCAATTCTTCATGTTGATTATGGCTACATAAACTGTCTCATATGTTATTGAATGGTGGGAATGGCAAATGTGATCACATGAGCATCAAATATTTTCTAGTTTAATAATGAATAAATTAACAAGAATGACATGGTATGGCATTCATCTCTTTATGTAGTGCTCTGCTCTAGTAGGATTGATGTGGACATGCATGTTGATTGCAACTTTTCTCATTAGCTCTCCTCATCACAGACCTTATAGCAATTAGCAACACCTTTTTGGGGATATAGAATTCTTTGGCTTGTGGTTTCCCTGCTAGATTAGAAAAGCAGTGTTATTGTTGGTAGGGAGGGAGGAAACTGGATGAGATGAGGGAGGAAGAAGATGGTCTTAAGTTTATGGTGAAGAAGGAGGCCTGTAAATTGCAAACATAGACACTGTGCATAGACAAACACACATTCAAACATTTATGTATGTATTTATTTTAACTTTTATTTTTTAAGTTGCAATTGTTACCAAATTGTAATTAAGACTTGAGAAATATTGTGTTCCTTGCCATTAGAGATGTGGAGTTAGCTGGATTATATCTTTTTATGTATTTCAGGTTGCATTTAGGACTAAGGTGTTCCACCCAAACATTAATAGCAATGGAAGCATATGCTTGGATATTCTTAAAGAACAATGGAGCCCTGCACTAACCATTTCCAAGGTTTGTTTTAGTTGTTTGCCTCTCCTTCGTCTTTGTTTTTCATTGATCAGCTATTAGTTTTTCATGAAATTGAAGATCCAGCAGATTTAATCATTATTAGTCTGTACAGGATGACTAGCTTTTTATTCGAGCTAAGTAGAGTTGCAATGAAGTTGCTTGACACATTTCAATCCAAAATCTTTATAATCATCCTTTTTTGGAACTGTTGCAAATGAAAAACACTAGACTGCTTTGTTCTTTATAATCCATAATTTCAACTTTTCTACATGGCTTGTATTTTTTGGTTGGTGGTGTAATTCTATGCATGGTTCATGAGTTTCTTAGATTGGGATTGAAGTGCAGATGTGTCGATCATCTCTTGGTTGTTGAGGGTAATGTCTTGGTACGCTTATGTGCTGATAAAGCTAGGGTAATGAGAGTGAAACTTCAGCACATAAATACAATCATAGTGCTGGCTTTTATTATTTGATGTGGTTTTGTACACTGATGTAGCCCTGTAATCTAAGCCTTAAAAATGTTTGGTGCAAAGTAGGTTCTAGTGCTTCTGTCTTATCAACTCTATCATGTGCTGTAGGTGCTGTTATCTATTTGTTCCCTGTTAACGGACCCAAACCCAGATGATCCACTGGTTCCTGAAATTGCTCATATGTACAAGTCTGACAGGGCCAAGTATGAGGCAACCGCTCGCAGCTGGACTCAGAAGTATGCAATGGGTTGAAGGCGATAAATCCCCCACCAATGCCCCTCCCCCCGCCCCAAAAAAAATGGGAATTCTGGTTGTAGGTTCATTTAGGTGGAGGAAAAACTATGTTAAAATGATATGTCTCACTATGGTTTTTGGTTGGGAAATCAAAAAAGTTAAAGGAATTTATCATCATTTTGTGAATATTTATTCAAGGACATTATAGGGGAAACTGTAATGTAATGTTGCTGTGTTGTTGTTGAAGTGAATGGTCTGCTTACCAATCTCATTTTAAGTACTTAATTATGTGGTATGATTGAAATAATGCCTTAGCCAACAATCTTCTTTTGACGTTGAGATAGGTGGTCCTGGAAGTGGTCGGATTATTAAATTCATTCAACGGGTTAAATATAATTTGTTCAAAACTTATAATTATAGAATATAAAATTTTGATGTTCTGTCACCAAAAAGAAAGAATCATCCATTGATTCAATATCCCCTGCCCCTTTACTCCCTTGGGAAGCTCTGCTGCTTGTAAGCTCGGAGTGGGAGTCTGGGCTTACCTAATCTGGTACGATTGTGAATCTTGAGGTTCAAATTGCTGAAGAGCAGGGAGAACGTGGCGAAGATGATTGAACAGAAATGCGATGTTTCGTTACGTAGCAGTGAGGATAATGGAGCATGAAAAACATGGCGTAGGAGATGTTGAAACCGCAGGAATTATTGAAACAGCAGAAGCTTTCAGCTGATTTGGCAATGAGGTTTCCAAGCGTATTGCTGGAAAGGAATGGGTGGCCTGGCCCTGACTCTGGCCCTTGTGGTTAAAAACTGAAACCGACATCGTGTCACTTAACTCTTCAATTGTTCACTTAAAGGATTGATGAGTGTCTCGACAGTTTTGGAGGTGTTGCTGTTGCAAGCACGGGTTTATTCCCTTTCAAGCTTAAAATTGATCAGCTCAATACAGTACAATACCATGCAAGGATCATTGTCTGGGCAGTAAACATAAATCATGGAAAACATGGCATCGCTGATGTTGAAACTCTGATACATCATTGAGAAGGAAAAGCCTTCAATTGCTCTGGCTTGAAAGGGAGGGATAACGATGCTTTTAACATAGTAATGGCGTTTTATGCATGCCTCTGCCCTGCTCTGCTGCCTTGTACCCTGGTTTCGATCTTACTGATTTAGGTTGAAAAGGAAGGCATTATTATACCCTAAGCGTAAGAGAGTGAATCTTTATACATTAATCAATTCCTGAAATGCATAGTCAAGATATAATGATCGACCGCACCCTCCAAGGAGCCCCATTAATGAGAAAAGGCTAAGCAAAAAAGAAATAGCATATGGGAAATCAATCGCTTGGTTGTCAAGCAAAAAGGGGGTCACCTGCGCCGCTCCTTTGGATGATACTTCACATGCTGACTCATTGCAACTCGTTAACTTTGCTTCTTCTTCAAGACAAAAACCACCTACCGCTACACCTTTTCCAACATTTTAATACTTGTATTGTATTTAAGCCGGATTCTTTGCTTTGTTATACTATATAATGTAATGATATATAATTAATTATTGGTTAACATTGCACATATTTGCCCATTAATTATAAAATGTATTTTGTTTCAATTTGGAAACTTAATATATAGACAGACACATGTGTGTTTATTATATGTATGTATGGGTATGTTGTTTTCTGCTCAGATTCTTCTTTTTAAAGCGTTCTAATGAGAACCAGATTATAGTATTAGAGAAGGTCCTCAGCAACAGAAACATGACAAGGAGGGGGTGTTATTCTGCATGCAGGGAATCTGTAGTTGTGTAGTAAAAAGGAATTTTTGTCATAATCCTGTTCCTCTAAAAATAAAAAGGTTGGACTCTTTCAACTCTGAGGCAGCTAAATGCTAAATATATATAGATTGTTTAATTAATGTTTCCATTTTCTCTATCTATGCTTTTTGGAATCTCATCTGACCCATAATTTTACCACTGACTGGGAAAGTAGTGCTTGTTTCTTTATAAGCTTCAAGTCCAAAATTTTGTACTCCTAATTAATAATTTGATGATTACAGGGATGGCAATCATTCGGCTGCAGCCAAAACAGGTGGGTTCTTCTAGTCAATGATGAGCTTGAGCCCCCAGTGCAGTGCCGTGCTTGTGCTGAGCCTGAGAGTTGAAACGGCCATTACTAATACTAATACGGGCAATCGAGTGGGCGGTGGAGTCGACGCAGGCGAGTTGTGGGATGCAGGAGGCAATGGAGTAATGTATCACGCATCCCAAACCACGTGGACGAGATTGTCCGAAAACCCATTCAGCCCCAAGCTTAGGTGGCTTTTCTGAGACATGATTCAAAGAGCAAAGCATAGATGGATGGAGTGCTTCGTGTGTTAGAAAAGTCATTGATTGAACCACATTTCCCGCTGCTTTGAAAATCTAACATCAAGTTTGTGGTTGTGGTGTTTCAAGTTTGACCACTCAACGGACCACCAACCAACCTGGGGAGTGGGAACTAAAAAGAGAAGGACAAATTAAGATCCATAAGCAATTCCTTCAAACAATATGGTATATGGAGTTTGGTTTCAACTAGTTTGAACTCAACTTACTGTAAAAGTAAAATTAGCAATTCAAACAGAGAAACAAGTTGTAGTAACCACTTTTGGCTTCCATACAATCCAGCGCCCATTGTCTATCTGCATCATTGTTTACAAGCTTCGGCTTCCATACAATCACAAGGAGAAGATGCTTTAGAATTTAGCAGTAGCCAGCGGTACTAGTACGGACTAGTTTTACTTAAATTATAAATTAATTAATTCTGCTCGGAAAACGAGAGTTTTGACACGTCAACAGAGTGAGGCAGCTGGATTCAGTGTTTCGACAGGGACCCACACCCCCACGAGAAGGAGTAAACAAATTTATTCACCCTCACTCCAACGTCAACGTGCACTATATATACCCCCTTTTCTTCTTCTCGTTTCCTGGCTCTTTCCTTCGCCTCTCTTTTCCTCTACTTTAAATTATTAACAAGAAAAAGATATCAACGTAATTATTTTCTCTCTTCAATTTTCTCAGCCATCCCGACTCTCCGATAGCTAAGTGGTTGTGTATGTGTTATTCCCGCCAAAACCCCAGCTCCCTACCCTCCGCTCACCCTGCTGCTGTGGTTTAGTTGTGTCCAATATTACTCCTACTTCTACTCTACTACATAAACAAAAAGCAGAGCATGCGCCTTCTGTCTTAGCTAGCGGTATCTTTTACTCTCCACTCTAGAGTCTAGAACAGGCGCAGGGGCAGGGGCAGCAGCTCTATGTAGAATTTCTCTTATTTCCATCCATGTACTTCCACACGATGCTCTTCACTCTTCATCAAGCTTGAGTTTGGGAATTGCGATCTATGTTACTGTTCCGATCCACACCATGATCACTTAGCTTGCTGCAGCCTTGGCCTAAATAGTTGAGGCGCCACCCCGTGATGAGCCCGCAGACTCAGTACTCGTTCTCCGACATGGTCAAATTCACAGAGCATGTCATCACCACCAACAAAGCTCCTCCGCAACCAACCAGAAATATCCCTCAAAAGCTTCTCAGAATCATCCTTACCGACGCAGATGCCACCGATTCTTCTAGTGACGAAGAACATGACCAACCAACGCCAACTAGAAGACGCTTAAACACCGTAAGGAGAGTGAAAAGGCACGTCAAAGAGATCAACTTTCAACCACTATCCGCATCGTCATCAGCCTCTACTAGTACTACTAGTAAGTCATTAGTCAAGCAACAACCAAGCACGAAAAGAGAAAGACCATCCCCGCAATCTGACGTCACTCGCCGTAAAAAGTTCAGAGGAGTCCGGCAGAGGCCCTGGGGACGCTGGGCTGCCGAGATCCGAGACCCCACCCAGCGCAAACGAGGTCTGGCTTGGCACTTTTGACACCCCTGAGGAAGCTGCCACCGTCTACGATAAAGCTGCCCTCTTGCTCAAGGGTTCCTAACGCCCTCACCAACTTCCCTAACCCCGTTTCGACGGAAAAGAAAGCCGCCGTTGACCAAAGACAAGGCGACAGCTTGGACTCCTCGCCGTGTTCATCTCTCTCTCTCTCCACGTCGGTTCTCCGGTGCGAAGAATTGACGCCCTTCGACGGCTTGGGGTACTTCGACGTCGACGCTTTTGGCTTCCAGATTGATGTTCCCTCCTATTCCACGGATCTCTCCTTGTCGGATAGCATTTTTGCCAAGGAAGAAGAATTCTCCGACTTCAACGTTGACGATTTCTTGGTCGGAGATTAGCAGCATTTTCTCATACTAATAATAATAGTAATTATACTATTACTGTTATTAAAGGAGAAGTAATTTTTTGGCAAAAGAAAAGAAAAAAAGAAAAAGAGTTTCTTTTTCGTAGAAGTATTCGTATCTTGCTCAGTGGAGAAAATTTTGTTGATACGTATGGCCATGGTGCCAGGTTTGTTGCTATGTGGCGGGTGAGTGTGATTGGTCCGCCCTTTAGCATTAGGATTTCTAAAACTGCCCCCATGTTGTTTGTTGGATTGGATGTTCAAACGATGGAGTGTAATTAGAGCGAGTTTAGCCGATTTTGGCAAAATATACGGCGATTTTGTCTCGTGTTGAAGTCTGAAACCTTTTTTTTTTGTTTTTTAAGTATTTATATCATGTTTATTGCATCGTTAGTATAAAAATACTAGTAGCTGTTTCTAGTGTTACGTTGAAAATTCTAACCAATGGTGATTGCGATGATTGGAGATGTTAAAGAGTTGCTTGGATGTCACGCCAAGCGTTGAAAAGCAATGATAGTGGTGCTTCTGGTGGTTTCCTAGTTGAATGAATCTTCTTCTTCTTCTGCTAGCCATTGGCTCAATCGCCTACCATAACAGTTACTGTTACTATATACCTGTAGAGCGACAGCGACAGAGACATTTTTTGTAGTGGACGACGCATTGTTGGAAAATTCAAACGTTGGACATGTGTTGGAAAAGTAGCCACCCTCACTCTCCCTCCATGGCTTGGCTTCACAGGCTTACACGCCACGTCTATTCCCAATGCCATGAGCTTCGCCTCTGTCGGATATGTTGGGCTCCACGCTATTTCAACTTTGCTCTCCTTTTCGCCTTTTTCCGATATGCCTTCTCTTCACAAATACCAGTTTGTAATGATGATTGGAGAGATAAGCTCTCGACTGATTTCTAATTATTACTTTTTTTTTTGAATAATTAATGCCTTTTAACTTGTTTATATTCAATGGATGATATGTTCTGATGAAACAGACTTCAATTTGAAAATGTGGAGAGGGTGCCAGGATTTGGATATAACTTGAAATGGTTACATACATGCATGGGGTGCCCTGGTTTGAGTCTCACATAGCTGATAGTTGTAATGTTTCCAAACCTTCCGCCTATGTGTTACTTCTTTATATATATATATATATATTCTTGTGTTACTAAAAAATGGACTCATGGAGCATCGACCCCAGATCTTTTGAGCATCCGTAAAACATAGCAGTACAACTTTACTTAGCTGCGCATCGGACTGATTTAAGCTAAACTCGACGGCGGATGCATCTTTCTTTGAAGAAATACTAGGCTAACGAGCCACATGGTAAGGGTAAGCAGCAGAAGATAGATTTTTGGGTGGGGGCCAGACACCCAAGGCTCACTGCTTGTGGTTCATATTAATGAAGGGCCCACCGTGATGGGTCAGATTCACTCACCTTGTGCACAATTTGATGATGGGATTGGAATTGACAAAGGAAAATACAAATGCAACGAAGGTGTTCACCGGCGGCTGCAAAAGAAAACCTGAGTGTTTGCCCGTTTGCAGGTACAAGGGTTAAAATGCGGAGTCTTGTTTTGCTATCGTCAAAGAAATTTGGAACAATCGGCAATGTGGTTAACCATGATCAAGTTGTTAAACAATCAAATGGTGAAGACTGAATTGAGATCCCCAGGGGCCCCAAGGTTGGTGACCAAACAGATACGAAAGTTTCAAAAGCCAAAATCTGGCCATCACCACCGGCACTAGCTATACAAATATAACCACAGCCGCCTCCCACTATCCACTCCATTAATTTATTAATCAAAACCTTCTCCTTCTGAATATCCCCATTCCATTGGATTTTAGTATTGGGAAAAGCTGACGCATGACCAATCTTCATCCAATCATCTTCTCCTACTGTTTCTAACTGTACGTACTAACATCTGCTATATCTCTAAAAACTTCCAAGCTGAGCTTAATTACTTTTGTTAATTAATTTCTCCCCAAATTATCCATTGACTTTGGTATCCCTAACCACTCTTCATATGTGAATACAAGGCAAGGCACTAGGCAGGTCCCAACTTGGAGCAAATAGATTCGAAGAGTAAAAAGTAAGTATATATGTTTGTATGCAGAAAGTAGGCTCTGCTGTTTGTCCAAAACTCAGGAAAGAAATAGTTTCAGAGAGACGTGGTAGAATAAGGCTGGCCAATCCTGTTTCTCATAAATTTGTTCCCTTGCCTTAAAATCATTCGACTGTCCTAAGTTGACCAAACTCCGCTTCCATTATTGGCCTTTGAAAAATTCAACTACACCTAAGAAGAAGCAAAGTTTCAGGACAACAGGAGCCCATTAATTTGTCAAAGTTCTTCTTCTTCTTTATATATATATATATATATATATATATATATTATATAATAACAAAAAGATTCAGTCAAAATAAATAAACCCACAATCCACGGCAAAAAATCAAATTAGTTAATTGCTATGATATACTATAGAAATTTGGAAATTGAGTTCGCTATCTTAATCACTAGTTACAATGACCGATACTTTTTTTCTGAAAGATACAATGACCAATACTATACTTGTATCTTCCTCTTACTTTTCTTGACAAATTTCCACATGTGCAGGCAACTCAGAGTCTAAATTTCAACGTTAACTTTAAGGAACCCAGGTTCTAAAAATCCATTTAAAGCCCAAAAGTTGGTGGATGGAAAAGGAGTGGGAGCAGGGTTTTAAGTTTGACTTGACCAGTCCATGGACCAAGGTTATTTTGTTGAAATTATCATCAAGAAAAAGAAAACACATAATTTTCCAATTTCCAGACGATTGCATCCCTTGTGTCTCACTGAGCAATGACTTTGAATTAAGTTTTTCTATTTGTCAAATATACACTTGAATATAGCCAAAGTTTGGCCCAGAAAGGAACTGTGTGTGGCCAGTTGACGGTCTGTTGTCGCAGCTGATGTTGGAGTGGCCCTAGTCTCCAAAAAACAGATTGTATCTCTGAAACAACGTTGACGTTGGGCTGCTAAATTTCTCGGGCCAGGCAGTCTTTCAGATTCCATGTTCTGATAAGGGCTTGATTTAGATTTGTTAGAATGATGGCAGGCTACTAGTCTAAAACCTCTCGCATCAAGTTGGCTGAAAGTAAAAGCTCACATCTCTGCTTCCATTTCTACTTTTCTAAGCATTTTTCAACGGGTTTACTTCATTTTTCCTTGCCTTCTTTTCCCCTAGTAAGTAGTAACATTTAAATGCTCAATATGAATGTTTAAGAGTTTCTCTTGTGTTTTATTTTGTGCCTTTCGTTTTCAATGTCCGATGTTTTTGTTTAATTTAGCTCTCTGATCATCTGTGGCTAAATGCCAGTCTCAGCATGCAGATTAGTTAATTACCAAATTACTATTGAATTTATTTCAGGTAACAATGATCGGGAATTAAAAGATGCTTGTTTAATTAAAATAGTCCTTCTTAGCAGATGATTGGAGTGATATAGATTGCATTCAAAGTAGATGTAGCTGTATAATGTTGGTACATAGATAGATTTCATTTGTTTAGCATCCATCTGTTTTGTTTAGCAGCAGCACTCATTTGACTTTATAAATATACAATTAAGAGCAATGATATAGATATTATATAAAGTGGAGCATTTATTTTGTTGAAGCGATGTCATCTTGTCATTAACATCTCCGGTAGGCGTAGAGGGATGCATGAATCATGCTTGATCAGATGTTCATGCTCGTGAGGAGAATCATGAACGCCACCGTTGATAGACATAAACTCCAGCTGGATGAGTACAACTTTGTTGCACTGCTACTTGGGTAATCGGTCGTGTTTATATCTGTCAATGAATTGATAGCCAAAATTACAAGCATTATACTGGTTATAGCTGTTAGAGATTTCAATTAGTAGTGCAGCAGCTAATTATAAGATTGAGATTCGATTCGAGAAATCAAGTGTACCTGCAAGGTTTGTACACCCTTTTGTGATGGCATTATAGACAAACGCAACATTGGCCTTGTTGGTAAACCGGAAGTCTCGTTTTACTGAATGAATACAGTCAAGCACATCCTTGGTCTGATGACTGCACCCGTCGGTCTTGCAATAGTCTTTGAATTCACTTACGTCCACATTGATCACTCCGGTTAGCGTTAGTACCTGTTTCCCTTTGCATTCACTAGATTTCTGTGCACCCAAAAGTGCAAATTGCAGTCATTTACTATATATAACAAACCAAATCTACAAGCATTTTCATCAAACCAGAAAAACGAAAACTAAAATCTACAAGCACTGCTTTAATCTTAATCCTTCATGTTAATTATACCATAGGAAAGAAAAAAAGGTAAGAACTAATTACCTGGTATTCAAGCAAGCATTCCGCGGCACTTATCCAACCCCAAAATGGACTCAAATTCACATGTTTTGGTATGTCCGTCTTGTCTGCAACCAGTCCCACCAACACATATACATACATCCGTTAGACATATACAATACCTAATTAATTAGCATTCATGAGTTGAGAAATGCACGAAACAATCACTTATAAGTACACAAATGAGACGCTGTATATTTATTGTTGTTTTTGGTTTAGATCAAAGATAGGGAGGGGATGAACAACAGACTCTGAGCTGCAGCATGGCGAAGCAGAAGAAGAATCCCCATTAATAACCACAAACTCCTGCGGTATTCCATCTCTTTAATTTCCTAGCAGAAATTTTGTGAAAGGTGAGAGAATGTTTAACGCCCTCATACACCTCGAGCGGGGTGTAAATTAATAGGAGTGAGAGTTTCCGACTTTGGACAAAAGTAAACAGAGGCGAACATAGTAGATATTAGGAATATAATTTTATGTTGAGTATATGCTGAGGTATATGAATAACCTTGTGATGAGAACGAGGAAATAGAAAATCAATAAACAGCAACTACATATATGTAGCTTACAAAATGAAACCATCAATTTTTGGATTAATATGTCGAGAATTAAGAGGTACAACTTTGTTGGGTTTTTCTTGTATTCATTTGGCTCATAAGATATATAGCCATACACTGCTTCGTCTGACTTGAGTCAGAATTACTGAAATGAATATATATACATACATATATATATATATATATATATTTAAAGATTTTGATAAAAAACTTGTTTATCTCTTTTCCTCATCATTTTTCTTATCAAAAACTCTGATTCTTTGGACTAATCTGTCATCCAATTAGGCCTCAATTTTGTACTTGCTTCACTCAATTTTAGTGGTGTATATGTTATAGATTAGCCTTAATTTCGCAGCCAAGGAAAGACAAACCCTTTGATTTTTTGAACTAGTTGTTTAATTCTTGAGTAGCTTAATTAACAAGAAGGCAAATTAATACACCAACACCAGATGAATCCTTTGATTTAAGTAGCACAGTTGATGGAAGTCACAGCTTCAAGTAGATAGGCAAAGAGATGAGAGGGCGTTGAGAAAAAGGGGCTGTGGTCACTCTCCACAACAAACACTTGAGCCGGCGGCCACCTTCTGATCATTGCATCTTGTTGGTGTTGCATTATAACTCGATCGTGCATTGTCTTGATAAAGACACGCGGCACACTGTCAGCTCCGGATTCAGGGCCCTCGGTGAAGTGAACACCTCGGAATGGTCTCAAAGGTCCTGGTCGCAGCAGCATCGCGGCCAAAGTCGAGTCCTGATGATGGATCAGTGCAAATTAAAGGCCCCCTCAATTATACTAGCTAGTACTGGTTCTAGTGCATAATTAATTTGTGCGTTTGTGTTATGAACTTAATTAATTATAAATCCTGTGCTAGCTAGCTAGGAAGTTTTAGTACCCAGTGCTCACCTCCTTAGAGCTCAAATGATAAAGAATTTTGCGTTGAAACTGCGCTTTGATTACGGTGCTGGTTGGGGGTTGATCAGCTCCCAGTCCGTATACTGTCTTATTTATATCGCCATACTTGGATAAATCAGGATCTGCCTACTCTCATTTGCACAACATATGTACTACCGTTGGTTAGTGTGCACACAGATGACTATGGATCATGAGGATTATTAGAAGGTAATTAGGGATGACAATGGGGAGGGGCGGGAACATGCATAGAAAGAATCAGGCAAGAATGTTATGTTAATTGATTATACTGCGATCGTAGCTACAGGTAATTAATCTAATTAATCTCTGGACCGCATATATATATATATATATATATATGTTATATTAGCAATATTGACTCGTTCAAAAAACCAAGCAAGGATGGCAGTGCAATTCTCCTATTTTTTGTTTCTGGTTCATCATTTAGCGAACACAGAGAAACACCTCAAGACACAAATGAAAAACAGAAAGGATAAAGGACAGAGACGGCACATGCCATAACACAAATTTTACAAATCAATATGCTGATGTAGACTTTAGAGTATAGTTGCCGATGCAATGTGGTGCATTGCATCCAGCTTACCGAGGAGATGCTTTGACTGCTATCAAATGAATACTAATTCAATTTCAGGTTGAACATATAATAAAAAGTAGTGATACTGTTAATTGTCTAAAATCCAATAGTCACAGAAAGGTTTTGCTCTAGAATAAGTAACTACGAATCACTGATCACAGATGCATTGCACAAAAGAAGTTGAGAGAGTGAATCTTACATCTTTATAATCTTGGTCGCTGACAAACCCACGCCTGAGCATATTAGCAGCAACATAAATGGCCATATGAATTTTATTAGCAAACCTGTGTATAGCATACGTTAAGCTCAGACCTCCCGCACTGTGTCCAACCAATATCACCTGCCAAATTAAGCTATATATTTAAGTAAACAGGTAGCTCTACCCTCCACAAAAGAATTAGCAAATCCTTCTATAATTTTCAATGATTAGTGGCTAACGTTTTCATTCTCCGGTAAGTTGGACAAGAGGTCAATAAGCGGTTCATTATACTCTTGGAAAGTGAAGATGGTATTGGGGTCGGATGGATCGATACCCGAAGCTTTAAGGTCAAGACAGGTAACCTTGTAGTCTGATGCTTCCAGTAGACTCCTGATTTTGAACCAGCACCAGGCTCCATGGCCGAAGCCATGCACCATAACGAAATGCAACTTTTTCTCTGTGTCGCCCATCTCTCGATCGATAGCTCTCTCACTTTCTTAACTCGCCCTTGCAGATCTTGCAAGGTTGACCGCTTTTAAGTTGCGTCTCTGCTTGCAACTAGCGTCACCGCTTGCGACTAGTTTCTAACTACTGTTCTATTTGTAGTGTATAATCTTGCTTGGACCAATGTAGCTCAACCCAACTTAATTCATGGCAATTGGATCAGATCCTGTTTTGTCGCGCACACACAAGCGCACATGGGCTTAAATTCAAAGCATTACTAGTCCATATTATATTCTCTATATATAGGAATGCCAATTACAAGTTACGACCTTCAGGCCCTCAGCTCCCCTTTCATGGCCCAAATTACTGAAGGCATGTGCCACATGTATAAAGTAAAATGAAAGCGTCTTCTGGTGGGCGAATCGAGGATCGGGCTCCTCTCCTAGTTGTACCTTAACTGAAGAGAGCGGTTATTTTAGCCTTAAACTTCCGCCTCAACTAAAAGATCATCGAGAGTTAAGGGTGTTCCACGTGAACATTCTACAAATTAAATTAGTTTTAATTGATTAGAAAAGGAAGACTATTAAGGACGTTACTAACAGAACCTTAATAAACTTAATGTTTATCACATAATTTTCCATCCATCTCGATTAGAAGAGCAAATAGAGCAACGAATAAAAAAAAAAAAGGACAATGGCCAAATTTAAGAGAAAATTGCTGTTTTCCATGGACAGATGATTTGTGTGCTAAAGAAAGACGAAATGACGCAGAAATGGCAGCCAAACTTAAGTTTCATCGAGATAGGGATTGATCCCTTCTCGGTCCTATTAGATCTGGACACATTTTTGTTTGGTTTTGTCAACCCAAACCCACAAGTCTCTGCAAATATTGGCTTATCTCTTTTACATCGGGCATAGATATTTGTCCCAAGTCCCACTCCATGTATCAAATCCATGCATAGTGCGTTGGACCCACGACGCACTTTCCTTCACTAAGGTAGAGAACAAGCAAAATCCTGCCAAAGTCTTTGGATTCCCATCGTCGACGTGTACCGCAGAGCAATTTTTCGTTTCTTAATTTGGACACATTATTGGAAGCGTTGTAGAGTGAGAGATTCATTGTTCTCTTGCGTTTGTTGGTGCATACGGGGCTTATATAGTATTTAAAGAAATGACAAAATTAACTTCAAAGTGAACTTTTAAATAAACATTATCTTTAAAATTTATTTCGCTTTCACTATTTGATAAATAAAGAAGAATAATGTGAATAATTTTAAAAATACAATGAAACTAACGTCTAATTTTATATTATACTTTACGAAAGTAGATTGCTAAATACACCTAATGATTTGTAAAGTTATTTGGCCTTAGAACTTACTTTTTACAGCAAGTATACTATAAGGATTTGAAAGCTTTTGTAGTTGATGGAAACTTAAGAGCTTATGTTATTAGAACATAACACTTATTTTGCTCTTGATATTTTTGCTCTTGTTTTGTGTTTGCTTTGATGTGTCAAATGGTTGGCAATAAGCTTTTTATATAGGCTTGTAAATGTCTCTTCTTCAAGAACATAACTTTTTCATTAAAGCACCATTTTGTTTAAAATGCATCTTTTTATTTTGCCAAACACAACTTTTAGATAAAGTTATTGTTTCAATAATCATCTTATGAAAAGATAACTATTCATTCCATAAATTATAACCTTTAAGTTATAATTTGAAACAATAACTTTTCATATATAACTTTTGAGTTATGGTATCTTTTCATTATGTATCATAACTTTTGGATATCATTTTACTAACAGACATAATTATTCACATAAAAACCTGTTTATAATCCAATAGACACATTATGTCATTTTATGTGACATAACATTTGAGCTAAGATAACTTTTCATCATGTGACATAACCTTTGATTTTTAAAATACACCACCAATCCCCCACCATTTTCAAAATTTTCAAATACCTACAACATTGGGAAACTTGTGCATAAATGAAGGTATCCCGTATATTTGAACCTTTACTTAGTGAGTGTGGTTGGTTCTAATTTGAATTAAGTGGTTGACCAAGTATTGAACAATTGATTCTTCATTTGACTAGTTGGGCGACTAAACACACACAAGCTTCCTTGCTCACTTTGTATCTAGTTTTGCCAACACATTATATAGCCTTGTGTTTTGCATCCATTCATGAGTGCTATCAAAGTTAAGCCTTTAGCTCCTAGAAGCGGTCACATTTCCACTTATATAGATAACCCCCATTGGAAGTACCTTGTAATTATAGTACTTCAACATATAGATGTTATGAGTCTATTAAGAACTTTTGTTCAACCTCACTTTATACATTACGGGAACCAAGCACTATACACCTTGGGATGAAAAATATAAATTAGTGCTTGAAATCATCCATGAGGTAGAACGGTCAGTACCGAAGACTTGCAAGTCGGCCACAAGTGTCGAGGTGAGCTCCCACCATTGGAGACTTAGTTAATAGGCTTGAGACCCATCCACCTTGAGGTTTTTATTACCATGTCCTTTTTCAGACCTTTGGTAAACGGATCTATTAAATTTTCACCAGACTTCACATAACTTATAGTGATTATACCATCAATAATTCTTTGTCTTACAATGCTATGTCAAAGTCCAATATATCGACTCTTTCCATTGTAAGCTTGATTATATGCCTTTGATACAGTTGCTTTATTATCACAATGTATCAAATTGGTGCTATTGGTTTAGGCCATAACAGAATTTCATAGAGTAAATCTCTCAACCATTTCGCTTTTTGGGTGGCAGATGCTAAAACTATAAATTTAGCCCCTATAGTGGAGTTTGCTTGACAAGATTGTTTCTTAGAACCCAAGAAACAGCACCCCCACTAATTGTAAAATTCCAACCAATCGTAGATGTATGATATGTTCTATTTGAGTTTCGACTAGCATCTGTATACCTTTCTAAATTGAAGAAAAACTTAAATAACAAATGCCATAATTCTTTATACTCTTTAAGTACCTTAGAACTCTATGAACAGCATGCCAATGTTTTTTCCTTGGATTACTTGTAAATCGACTTAGCATCCCAACCGCAAAAGCAATATCTAGCCTTACACAAACCATGGCATACATTACGCATCCAATCACCTTTGCATATTCATTTTGTGCTATTGGCTTATCTTTGTTAGCTATTAGCTTTAAATTAGAATCGTAAGACGTAGTCATTGGCATACTATCTACCTTACCATACTCCATTTCAATTTTTTCTATGTAATGAGATTGAGACACTGTTAGGCCACTATTGTCTCCCATTATTCTTATGCCAAGAATAACATCCACCATACCCATATCTTTTACGTCAAAATTCTTTGACAAGAATATTTTTGTGTCTTCCACTTATTCCAAATCAGTATTAAAGATTAACATGTCATCTACATATAAACAAATGATGACACCTCTACCATTTTGGAACTTACTATAGACATATTTGGCAGATTAATTGATTTTATAGCCATTAGTTAGCATAACTATATCAAACTTTTGATGCCATTGTTTAGGTGCTTGTTTCCTAAATGGTGAATTAGATGAAGAGGTGTATATGAAACACACTTTTTTTGTTGTTTAGTTTGTTGCAATTGAAATGAGATGTTATTATAAAATGCAGTAAATCTTATTTCTCTCCTATGTTTGCCAATTGTTGTTTCCATTTTGTGTGTTTTCTCTCCTTTCTCATATGTGCATAAAGAGTTATATTCTTATGAAATATCTTTTGTTGAACTAAATTCTTTGTTGAAGGTTCTTGATCTTTGTTTGGTTAAAGTGAAGACCTTGTTTATGTTCTAAAAGAAGCAAAAGTTTATACGGGATACAGTGGGCACAAGTAATGTAATATTAACCATTTCCATTGCTTTTCCTCGTACTTTCATTCTAGTGGTGCAGATATTCCCAATCCCATCTGCCTACCTCTTGGGGTGGGACTAGGGGTCTTGCTTCTGCATCTTCTATTTTAAAAAAAGGTACTTTGAGTCTGAAATCATTTGAATGCCAAAATGTCAAGCAAAAAAGTAACAAAATGATTGTTGACTACAGAAATGGATCGTAGCGTCAAGTGAATGTTGAAGCTGATTGAAGAAGATGGAGATTCATTTGCAAAAGAGGCTTAGATGTATTATCAGAAGAGGCCAGAACTTATATCTCATGTCGAGGAGTTCAACCGCACGTATCGTTCTCTGACAGAGCGTTATGATCAACTGATGGCAGAATTGAAGAAGAATATTCCATCAGACCTCCAATCTCAGAGCTCTGGCATATCTGACATTGGTTCTGAACTGCCCTCTATTTGGCTATCCCCGGATCAAAGGCTAAGTCGTTGCAAATCTGGCCCATGAGTTGTTGGTTTCGATGTTTTCCTTGGTTCTAGTGGGAGCAGCCCTGATGTATACTAGAAAGAAGGAGATGAGTCATCTTCTCTTTCAGATTCTAAACCAGAATCTGATGATTCCTTAATCAATAATTACTCAGTTTTGTCGGGGAATGGAGGTGACCAAGGGGTGAGGAAAATGATTAAATTGGAGATTGAGCTCCGTGAAGTGAAAAAGAAGCTACGGGTGCTAGAGGAAGAGAATGCAGATGGCTCACTAGCAGGATCAAAAAATGATAATTCTGATCTTCTTGCTAGAATTGGAGAGTACGAGGAAGAACTAAAAATTGCTAATAAAAAAATACAGCTTTTTGAAGAAAAAATCACTTCGTTAAGGATTGAGCTCCAAAAATATAAGCCGCAGGAAACAACTGAGGATGAATCCTCCGGAGAGGAAAGTGTCAAGATGCATAAGGCTGAGCTGGAGATACAGGTAAATCAAGCATCAGAGCCTCAAGAAAGGATTGGTGTAGTGGAGAAAGAAACTCAACACCGAGATGGCAAGATGCAGGTATTGGTGGACGAGCTGAGAATCACAAACGAAATGGTCCAGAATTCTGAGAAAGAAATTGCTAGTTTGAAGCTTGAGAAGAAACAATCCGATGAAAATTTTCAAAATTTGTAGGTTCAGTTTGTTACGGCACAAAAAGAGATAACAACATGGAAATCCAAATTGAATACAGAGAAAAAAGAGGTCTCCAAGTCGCAAGAAAGAATGGCTAGGTTAAAGACTAGTTTATCAGATAGAGATCATGAGATCAGGGACTTAAAGATAGCTGTATCTGATGTTCAGGAAAAGATTTTTCTAGAAAAGGCTCATATTAAAGCTGAAATATCAAAATTGTTGGAGGAGCGGACTTGTTTGGAGGAACAGCTTAGAGAATGGGAATCACGTGGCCGTTCCATGAAGGATGAGATCAGAAAAGTTGTGAACAAAAAGAGAGAATCAGATGATAAGTTTCACAGTGAAATTGAGCTATTGAAAATAGAGATTGCTAAGAGAGGTGATTGCATTAAAAGTTTAAACGAAAACATTGAGACTTTAAAATCAGAGATAGACGAGCATATGGCCTAAATTGATTCACTCAAAACAGAGGTTAGTTCGAGGGATGATCAGATTGATCAAATGGACAAGCATCTACACCAATTACATATGGAACACGTGGAGCTAATCACTAATGCTCAAAGAGCACATAAACTGGTGAAGGAATTGCAAGCAAGAGCTAAGGAACTCGAGGATGAGACTGAGAAGCAAAGAATCACAATATTGGAAAGAGCAGAGGAGAAACGTGAAGCTATAAGGCGACTTTGCTTCTCCCTTGAGCATTACAAAAATGGATATCATATGCTTCGGCAAGCATTTATCGAGCACAAGAGTGTTCTAGTGTTGGCGACATGAATTGGCAATGTTGCATGGCACTGTTTCCTCCATTCTTTTGTTTCTTTTTTTCTAAGTGAGAGTCCCTAGATTTTCTTACTATTTCTTGAAGGTGACTTTGCTCATATCCCGTTGCTTGTGTAATGAGGATACATAAAACATAAGTGCCCTTACATTGAGGGATGTAGAGTGGTTTGGGTGAGTATAAGAATCTTCATAGAAAGGTTGGACTGTGCAGAAATGCCGAAGTCCTCGAGCACTCATTTAGGTCAGTATTTGCATGTTCTGATCTCGAAGCTTGATATGTTTGGTTTTGTTTGTGTAATGGCTTCGGCTTGGGTGCCAAGTAGCTATATGAGTCTCATATCGTGATCGGAAATGGAAGCTCTTGCGACTGCTTTTAGCAAAAAGCAAAAACGGCAGGTCTTTTGCACTTTGCGGCAACCTTTAGTAAAAAGTTTAAAAATCGCACCAGTGGGGGTACGACTTACCGCTTAGGAAGCAGTCCCTCTACCCACTAGGCTACGGGCACATGATACTTTAATGATTGTGGGGTGTCATCTCAGTAGCTCAATAATGTTTGCTTTTGCCCGTTAAATGTTAGCGGGGCCAGCCTCCAACGTTATGCAAGTGATATTACATGACACTTTAATTGTTAAAGGCTTATAATATGAGGTAAAAGTATATTTATTAAAAAAATAATTTTTATATTAATATTTAAATATAAACTAATAAAAAATTATAATTTTAAACTTTATTAAAAACGTTAAAATTTAGATTATTTTTAAAAAACTTTAAATCTTACTTTTTGAGACTTGTAGTCTTTTTCTTTTTTATTTTTTCAAAATAACTTATTTAAGTTTTAATTATTTAATTGTAAATAATTTTTAATTTAAATTAAATTATTAAATATTTCTTATTTAAGCATTTTTTGATTAATTTGTTAATATGACACTTGAACAGAATCTTTTTAATAAAAAATAGTATTACATGTCAAATAATATCAAATCATATTTTTTGATAGATCTAAATTGAGGAAAAAATTTAATTATTATTATTATTATTTTAATAAATAATATCTAAATCCATCGTGACGTTAATCTGTCAATTTCTATTCTCTCACTCCTGTTAAATTCCACATCTGTACTTGGCTGTGTCAGCACAGCATAAATCCAAGCATGCACAATTTGGGGAACATAAGAGGAGACTTCTTAAGATGATCAAGTTTAACAGGGAGACGGGAGCCATATGTCAGGATCCAAGCAATCGGCAACTGTCACCCCTTAAACCAGGATATGAAACGAGCCTTAATTAATATCAGCCCAAGAAGTTTGTGGCCCAAAATTCTACGACTTGACGCTGTCGTTAATTCTGTCCCTATTGTTTACGTCATTATTTCCTTCGGTTTCTAATTACAGGATATAGCTCTACCGACCCTCATTGGCAGCCATTGTCAATTTGTCAATTGGTGTAGTAATATTCAATTTAATTTAGTTTAGTTTAACATTTCATTTATACAATGACAGCGAATTATCCAGAATTTGTCAAAGGGAGGGAGCAGGCGGCTATAGATATAGTATAGGCGTAGTGTGAACTACCTGCATAAACTTAATAAAAACAAGAGAAACAGTCAACGGAGAAACCCTTATAATTCCTTGATCTATTTTCTTTTGGACAATAATGGTAACGGAGTGAAGAGAGAAAGCCCCTTTGGGTGTGGGAGGACTTAAACTTGTTACTTAGACCAACCAAAGTTTAGGTGAATTTGGGTGTCATAACTAAAATTGTTAAAAAAATTACTTATCCTGGAAATGCTGCAAGTTATTTAAACCTTTCCGACTTCATAATAATAATATAAACGTAAATAGATGATGTTGTAAATAAAAATGATTGACATGGTAATGACGTGGATCAATTTGGCCATCTAAGATGGGGAGTGGTGTAGATGCGAAGCGATTGAGGCATTGCACGTGAACGTGATGGTGGCCTTTGTTGGAAGGTAGGTAACGTTGTTTTACGTCAACGTTCCTTTCCCTGGTAGTAGGTAAGCCAAGCCTTGCGCTTGGAACTGGTCTCAACCCTTTTACCGTTCCTTTCCTATTTCTCTCATAATCATCATCACCGGTTCTGTGCACTAATCAGCTACTTAATTAATGGGTTCACTAGATATTCATAAATCTTAGTGTTTGTAATATAAAATAATAATAACAATAACTCTTGGCATTTAGACTTTGTCCAATCTGAAATTCAAGATATGTTGTCCTAATAACTTTAAAATCTTGAAAGTTTATATCAATATTGACAATATTGAATAGGACAGATTTATATTATAGGTTTTCAATACTAATTTTATACATTAAAATTATAAAAAAAAATTATCATCTAAATAGATTTGACAAAACGATGTAGTCAATGCCTCAATGGATGGCATTCTCAATTTTCTTAATGTATAAAAGAAAAAAAAGAATTGGTCATGGGTAGGAAAATGAAGATAAAACAAGAGAGCAGTTATTGTCAAAGAATGGTCCCCCGTAGGCGTTGGCATTAGCATTGGGCATTCCCAATTTTAAGATGAAAAATAAGGTGTAAGGTGAAACTTGAGAGCGAAAGGAAGAAGGGGAGATGAAACAAAAGTGGCAGATATGGCGTCGGCATGTGGGAAACTACGTCACTAGAAACGCTGATTGAAAAAATATAAAAGAAAAAAAAAATACAATTGATTGAAATTGCTGAATTGCTCATCTGGATGCACCTTACCGCTTTAACGCCGTTACATCTCACGGCATCTCGGAGCTTTGACTTGTCTCTTCTCTTATAAATAATAATGATGATGATACAGTCGTAAAATATTTGGTTTGCTTGGAATTTTAAAATTTTAGACTGGTATTCACGGAAGCGGTCCATGTGCGAATGATCTCATCCCGCCGAATTGTCAGTGTCTTTTATGCATCACCTCACTTTTGCAATTTGCAGTTTTATATTGTATAAAGTTGGGTAACTTCCGCCTCAAATATTCCATACTTTCACCCAATCACATTTCATCTTTTCACCCGCACCCTTTGGCCCATCGCCTCACTCTCTCACCTCAACAACATCCTTAATTTTCGTATCTCGTTTATTGTTTATTTATTTATTCATATAATTACATTTAATATATGATTAAAATTTATTTATTAATTTTTATAAATATTAATACTTTTGTGATAATTAAAATTAAAACATGTACAACTAAAATATAATTTTATTATTCATATTTATAACAACAAATTATATATATCATAATATTTATCTAATATAATAAAATTTAACTTCAATAAAACTTAATCATCATCAAAAAATTAATACTCATATGAACAGATAAGCAGGTTTCACATGATTAATTAAGATATAATTTATTCATATCTTAATTCTATCGACACAATTAATATATAAAACATGATTAACATAAAACCAAATTCGCTTAAATTCATTTTGTGTTAGTATTGTTTACGAAATTGTCAAATCTATATGTGTGGTGCATAAGTGTCTTACTAATAAATCATTTAAAAATATGGTTTTTGAAACAAATTGAGTTATGAGATTAAGCACCAAAAATCAGTACAAATGTATGGATCCAGAATTGTGGATAGTTAGGCGATGCCGAACCATGAGTCATTGCTAGCTCTCATTGTCAACAATTATTATGGCCGAGTGTGTGTAGAGATATATACATGTGATTTTATTGTCTGGAATCCAAGAAATATTAATGCTTATACAAGCTCAGTCCAAAGAGGTCAGTGTGAAATAAAATACAAAGGCTAGCTAGTTGTATGTATGTAAATCACTAAAAGGACAACATTCTGAATTAAAATGATTAAGTGAAACTATTTCTATTCCCAATGGAAACATTGAAAAAATTATTTCCACGATGTTCTGAAGGTTGAATTGAATATATGAAATAGTAACGCATGCAGTGCACGAGACGAGATGCTTAAAAATAGTATTCATGCCAAGCCATCACGGAAACTTGTTGGGCCACGTGAATCAAATATATGAATTATCAAGATCTGTAGCAGACATGACAAGAGACAACTCCCCTCCAGCGGAGCTGGCGCGCCGACACCGTTAGCTTTCTTTGCCTTTAGTTTTCAGATCGCATTCATTTAACGGACGCATCATTCTTTAAACAGGTTTTGAATTATTTATATTATATATTTTAAATTAAATACATTTGTATAATTAATAAATTAATTAATTACTATTAATTATTTTATATACACATAAAATTAATGTGATATACTTTTTTTCACAAAAAAATAAATGTGATGCATTAATTTATTATAATATAATGTTTTATCATGTCACGTACTATTTATCATAATAAATCAAAGACAAGTTATTTGATTCACTATAATTTATCAACGATCAGAAATTTATTTTGTTTAAAATAAAAATAATAATTCAAACATGTTTCTAAATCCAGAATCGTTTTTTTTTTTGTGACTGGAAAAGAATTATTTACACAGAGAGAAAGAAAATGTTTTCGAGTGATTAGCAAGATCATGCACCCGGCACGTGGTAATCGAAGAATAAGAAATACAAGGCACAGTGGGACACATTGAAACCATCTTTTGACATCTGCGATGTCCCTCACCAACCCTCTCACCTACTCCCCTCTCCCACTCTTGAGATCCGACGGCTTGAGTTTTCTTCAGAATCTTGTGGCCGTCATATCAAACGGCGTCAAAAGTTCAAAACCGCACCCACAACTTCCCCCAAACTCGGCAGATGAGCAAAAAGCCCCACCCAACGCCTACCACATTCAACCCCACCCCCGCAGGCCCAGCCCCTGTCCTTGTCTATAAAGCTCGCTCCTTCCCTCCCCACTCTTCACCCACCACCCTA